ATTTCGCCTTCTTTCGCAGAACTTTGTTATGATGGAAACTGGGGTGTTGGACAGTATTGTGCAATCGTGGTCATCAGAATAAAAACGATGGAGGTTGTAGACATAAGAGAGACTCAGGACCTGGGACATTGAGATTATAAAGTGCGATTAACTCTCAGTATTTGAACTGATTAAAAGCTCGTCAATCCTAAGAGTTAGTTGTATAAAATTATATTATACTTGGTAAAAAGGTAGTCATCCTTACGTGTCTAAGGCTGTAATTTTGCTGGTAATCTCCTAACAATTATTTCTGAAAATTGTAATCTAGTTTAAAGTAATTGGTTGTAAGTCGTCTGTGAGATTGTTAAAAGCTGCTTCGCTTCCAACAGTTGAACTGATAAATTATTAGTAATCTTAATTTATAGACACATTTTGGAAAGTTCATAACATCATATAAATCATCTATATTTATAATATAAATATATCTAACTATGAATCTCATTTTTAAACAATAACACTAGCATACTGTTAACTACGAATCATTAATAATAGGATACTGTTACCTGTGAACCATAATTTAAGTATGCGGTTAAATACGAATCAACAATACCAGCATAGTGTTACCTGCGAATCAATTATATGAATACTGTTAACTACGAATCACCAATACTAGCATGCTGTTAGTTGTGAGCACTAATATGAGTGTACTGTTAACTATGAATAACTAATACTAGCATACTGTTAACTATGTATCATTAACACTAGCTTACTTTATTTTGGATCAGGTGAAAAAAAGAGCTTAAACAGACGAATGATGTATTCTCAAAGAAAAGAAAAAAGATACCTTATAATAAACAGTGTTATGAAATAATTCCTTCAAATTGAATATTCTGGGCTTGAAAACGTCAAAGTTCAGCAAAGTTAAACGACTATAGTTATTACTTTATTCTTCCTTACGGGATACTAACAATAAGATTAATCTTTAAATTACGATTTTTTTTCTCAAACATGAGCAGCAGAGTTGCTTTGCTGTCAAAAACATCTCAATCATAATGAGTGAAGAAAAAAAAACGTTAGGTTATTAGAACATCATATGAATAGACGTTTATCTTTTACTTACTAAGGCACTAAATCACTACGTAACCGTTTACTGCAGTCACTGGAGAAACTAATGCTCATTTTCAGGACATTCAAAATGAAAGCAAACTATTGTCGTGTAATTTAACTTTTATCCAGGCGAGGATTTGTGTTTGTTCTAAACAACAGTATTCTTCTAACTAATTGGAAAAGGATAAACAAAAACATTTCAATTGCACCAGCTAACAAACCGTTACATGACGTTACACTCTATTGTTTGTTTGTCCGTAGCCCTGTATATTCCAACAAAAATATTTTTAAAAAAATTCAGAAAATGCATTTAAAATTTGTCGGTGTTATAAAAGTTTTATGTAGGTACATTACTTACACTACTAAAAACCTCTTTCAGTTAAAATAACACAGTTTTCAGTACACTTAGCAGATAAAATAACACAGTTTTCAGCACACTTAGCAGTTAAAAATAACACAGTTTTCAGCACACTTAGCAGTTAAAAATAACACAGTTTTCAGTATACGTCGCAGTTAGAATTAAACAACTTTCAGTACACGTGGTCGATTAAACAATTAATGTAAAAACGGCGTAGTTTACGCAAGTAATGGGTAAGCACTTAAACTGTGTGTTATGTGTCGTATTTTATCCAAAAGAATACGTATCTGATATATAAACAAATATTGTTATGGAATGTGGTTGATTTATTCAAACAGTTTATAAAGCTTTCACTTACTATTGTTTCAACATTCTACTGAGATTTTATTTGTAATTTCTTAATTTTTAGACTAATGAATATGTTATCATCTTATCTAGAAAATCTTATCTCCTTTAACCAAACATCGATACAAGCAAAGCATTTTAATATAAAGAATTTCAAACAAGTGAAATTGGAAGTTGATGTGAATTAAATGTATTCATTTAAATATATAAGTCGTGGTAATTTGAAACTGTAATTATTACCTAATATGGTGTTAATTTATATATATATATAAGACGACTTCTTATAGTTCAATTATTTCTCGTTCTATTAGGGGCAGCTCAGACCACACCATAGCTTTCCACAGGAGGGTTTCAAAGATGGGCAGAACGACAACATAAGCATAAACTTGAAACTGGAGTTTCACCACTTCTACATTATAAAGGAAGAGAACAAAAAACTTTGTTTTTAATCGAATATATTCCTTGAATTTTTGTAAACCATTCAAGCTGTTGTTTCGTTAAGAAATTCAAAATCCAGATGACGACTCTCAAATGGAAGGTTGTTGAAAGAATGAATCCTGCTGTACAGCCTAAACTGCTGGTGTTTTCGACGGCTGCTACTCTATTCAGCTCTTATGAAGTCACAAGTAATGTATCTTCATTGGCGAACAGCAGCGATCTGGAAGAAAACTTGCTTCCTGAATCACGATACTCATTAGCAGAAGTTATCCTAATAGCTTTGGTTGCAGGCCTGCTAAGTCTTGGTACTGTTATAGGAAATGTAATGGTAATGATCTCATTTAAAATGGACAAACAGCTACAAACAATCAGTAACTACTTTTTGCTTAGCTTAGCTGTTGCTGATGTCTCTATAGGACTGATATCTATGCCTTTATTTACAGTTTTTACCTTGTTGGGATACTGGCCTTTAGGGCCCATGATCTGTGACACGTGGCTTGCATTGGACTATCTCAGTAGTAACGCATCCGTGCTCAACTTGTTGATTATTAGCTTTGATCGATACTTCTCAGTTACTCGACCACTGACCTACAGGGCTAAGAGAACCACTAAACGTGCAGCCTTCATGATAGCAAGTGCTTGGGTTATATCACTTGTCTTGTGGCCACCTTGGATCTACGCCTGGCCATACATTGAAGGTCAGCGGAAAGTCCAAGCACACGAGTGTCACATCCAATTTCTGGAAACAAACTTTTATGTCACCTTTGGCACAGCCATTGCAGCTTTCTATCTTCCCGTCACTGTTATGTGCATTCTTTACTGGCGGATCTGGCAGGAGACAGAACAACGGAAGAAGGACCTTACTCACCTACAAGCTGAAAAAAGAACGGATAGTAAAAAGTCATCATCCAGTGATGATCCTGCAGAGGCTGAGGAATGTCTCAGAACAAGAGCTGATTCATATATACCAGATGACACGTTAGAAACAACTTATGTTCCAACCTCTCTTTGTGTGGAACCAACCAAGTCACAAAAAAATCAACCCAGAACTCTGAAGCAGGCTCTAGTATCTTGGTGCAGAGTTGATAGGGATCAGAATGTTCAAGAAGATGACAGCTCTAGCCATGGGTCTCCCGAGGCTGTGACTCCAGGATCAAATGAAACTCCTATGCAGTCGTCTTCTAGAACCACCTCTATGACATTTAGATCAGAACGCAGACTTGGGTCTTCAATCCCTCTTATCACTAAGAATGGACCACGGAAGCCTGAAATCATGACAGCAAACTCGATGACACATCCAACTTCGCGTTCATTCTCTTCAGATTCTGTGTACACCATTTTAATTCGCCTACCGACTTACCCATCTATAGGTGATGGAGAATCTCAAGCTTCCATTAAAATGATTCTCGAGGAAGAAGGCAACCAAGCAGAGACGAGTTTGCAAAACGTTAAAACTTCAGAGAGCATGGGTGCTTTAAATAGTCAGCACCGAACTTCAGGAGAGAGACAACTTCGTCATTCTTCTTTACGAACATCAGAGTCAGCACTCGAGACTATCCGACTCCCGCTTAATGCCAAGCTTGTCCATAAACAAGTAGCCAAACATAATGTACCCAAGAGAAAACGGAAACAACAGGAAAGAAAACAAGAGAAGAAGGCCGCCAAGACTTTAAGTGCAATTTTATTGGCTTTCATTGTCACTTGGACACCATACAATGTATTGGTATTGGTAAAAACGTTGTCTTATTGCGCAGATGATGAGTGCATTCCAGAAGGATTGTGGAATTTTGCTTATTATCTCTGTTATATTAACAGCACAGTGAATCCCTTGTGCTATGCCCTCTGCAATGCTAATTTCAGGAGAACCTACACCAGGATATTATCTTGCAAATGGCAAAACAAGAAACGACACATTGTCAATCGTGGGTATTTTAACTAAATTATGGGCGAAAATGATATTTTTCACAGTTATCTGTATGTAGCACTTGTCTTTGCATGACATTTTATGGCACCATATTTACAGTTATTTCCTGCTATTGATATTACATCCTTCCGAAAGTGACATATTGAAGTACACCATGATACATTAACCATGTATCTTTTCAAGTTTTAGATTTTTCTGATCGTCTTGGTTACATAATTCTCGTGTTGTGAATGTATATAAATACAATAAAGTGAGTATCTGTAAATCCTTGAAGTTTCCAAATTTAATTTCGTTTAATGTATTTATTCTATTTGGTTTCATTTTTATTATTTCTGTCTATTTCTAAAGCTACAGTGGCTGGTTAATTTTATTAGGACCTTCCATACAGTGTCGAATGGGACCACCTCTCTTAGGCGTGGCATAACTTCTACAGAATGACAGAAGGTGTCTTGTTCAATAGTAGCCATTCGTTGAAATTTGCATTCAAACAAACCGTCAGTCATGAAGCTTTGGATTTACAGTTCAACCAGGCTAATCACTTAGCCACTCCTGGCTCCATCACTTCATTATATTCACAACATATTTATACAAAACAATCTTCATGTGTTCGTGCATTATTGTGTTGGAAATGCCTTTTGTGGAGTGCACATGATTGTAAACAATCTGGTTGTAATTCGTTCTTCTAAAGAAATGAAATAGACCCAACCCCTGCCACGAGACATTTCCGTACATGCACACCACTTTTAGCAATTTGCGCTTTCAGAACTCAAGACAGTTCAAGTTCATTATGTGATTTTTCTGCATGTTTTTCCAATGGAGTCAAAAGAAGAAAAATGGATGATGCTAACTCATCCAGCCACATCTTATGCTTTCAGTCAATCAGTGTTTTTAGCTTGCCATCTATCTAAGCATAGTTGAAGACTTTTCTGTTTGAATCTGAAATAAACGTTGTTGGATTGGTTTTCACTACCGTATGACAGTTTTTGTAATGTTATGGTAGGAGGTAGTTGAATAACAGTAACTATTGAATACATCAATCAACTGAGACACTGTTTGACCCCGGTTACACTTTAAAAAGTTATTCAATTGTCTTTTCTATCAGTCTTCATCTAATGGCAGTTTCAGATTTCTCATCTCCTTTCGATTGCCACTGTTGATAGATTCCACTGGCAGATGTCTTTGATAAACATGTTCCTTCAAAACATAACACTACCACCAAGCCCCTTTGAAAGTCAGAAAGATCATCGTTCTTCTTCTTGTAGAATAACAATGATATTACTACATCATAAAGCTCAAGAAATTACCTGACACATCATGTAATTAGTCAATTCAGTCATAATTACAGTTTGAAAGATTTAAGAATTTCCCATTCATAAATCCAATATCTTAAATAAAAGGATAATTAAAGAATATTTCAATATAAAATAAAATTTTAAAATTGATAAAATAATCCGTTTTAACTACATCTAAAGCCAGATGAACAAAGATAAGAAGGATTTAAAGATTTAAAAATAAAGCTTGATAGATGGTTCGAAGTTTTGTTACAAATACTAAGAAAATAATCAATAAAATTTCTAATCTAAACTATTTTAATATTCATTTTACAATTTTAGATCATTCGGAAGTACAAAACCACTCAACTACAGACCAATGTAAAAAAATAGTTTCTCAAAAAAAAACTATTTTTTTTATCAAAAATATACATGTAATTTATAAATTAACGGAAATATAACTTCATAACATATTCATAAACATCAGAAATTAAGCATACTTAGCTAAGCAAATGTTGTGTACATTTTGGGGGAGAAAAATATTAATTCTTCTGAACTCATTTTCTTAACATTACTTTAAATAGTTTCCAAAATTATTATTTCAATTATTTAAACAATCTTGGCACTGTACCTAATATTACGATTGACTGTCGATTCTACAAACTTGTGACTTCATGAAATATCTATTATTAATTCTTTGATTGTATATGTATTGTGTGTCTTTAATTTGCCAGAATCACATGAATATCAACTTCATACCAAACTTTACTGCAACATATGAAACTCTCATTACTTATTCTGAACTGTTTGAAGAACAACAGTATAAAACTACGTTAAGAAATCAAATGAAGTATTGAAGTTAATGCCTCCCAATATCAAAGTATGAGAGAACTATTAAATCGCGAATCTATAGTAACAAAGTTGAAATTGCTATTCAAAGTAAGATAACGAAAATGAAGAAATAGTAATGAGACACGAATAGAGAGGTATTCAGAACCATACTAATAAAGTTAGAATGTTGATTACTTGCCGAGAACGTTAATATTTCAATGAAAGGTAGGAAAAAACAAACATATTTATATCTAATTTTACAAAACTGCTCGCCTGTTTGATAAATGTAAAAAAAACTTTATATACACATTTTACATGTAGGTGACATATATGAAATTAGTTTCAAGATGTGGATTCATGAACAGTACGAAAAAGTGTTCTGGTTGTTAGAGTCAACATTCACCATTTTCCCATTCAATTGGGGTATATATATATGTGTGTGTGTGTGTGAAGAGTATCCGAGAATGCGTACATCATGATCGCTTGTTTCCAACTGTAAGAGATGCGGCCGGTTCCATTCTACAGTGAGTCACATTTTGTTAGCATGAAGTTGGCACAATCGTTACACTGAAAGTTAAGATGACATTTACTCAATATTAGGTAGTACTAGAAGATCAAGTATACCTTACTCAAAGCCTGTATTTTTTATCTTGTTGGCGATGGAGTCTTGAAAGACTACAGTCCCCACTGAAGAGGTGTTGAAGGTTTGTTTACATGATGAAGTTTTTTAACCTGATCCTCCAAAGTCACCAGTCCTAAGCCATGGCGTTACTGTTGAAACCAGACTTCGAATTCATTTTCCGGCTCCGACATCTCACTAAGAAGTGGTGTAATATTCTTGTTGAAACCGGACTTCACGATCTCTTAACCGATTCTGAGACCTCTGAAAGAATTGGAAATAGCAAAATTTTAATACAAAATACACAATACCTCGCAAAATGCTAACTATACATTAATGTCACGCGCATGAATCCAGCATAGCAACTATGAAATAACATTGTCATGGTTCTATAATGTTCTGCGGTGGGCCGCGGGAAATTTCTTGAAATTTAGGAGGGCAGTGTTACTAAAAAGGTTGAGAAACGCTGGGCTAGTCAACAACACTAATTGTAAACGCTAGTGGCTGCTGTTGGATAATCGAATAGTGAGATTTGACCATTACACTTAAAGCGTTCACAAGCTTCAAAATGCGGAGCGCGTTTTCATCACGAAACACGAGTCGTTAGATTCAAAACCCTGGTTCGTCTAGCTCAGAATGATTTGTAAAATTCGAGTCCCGACTGCTGTAACTGTTTGTTTGTTTGTAATTAAGCACAAAGCTACACAATGGGCTATCTTTGCTCTGCCCATCACGGGTATCGAAACCTGGATTCTAGCGTTGTAAGTCCGCAGACATACCGTTGTGTCGCTGGGGGGGTCAGGTGTAACTAAAGCTTTCTCATTGAATTTATTCAACTTTATTCAGCATGTTAAAAGGTAGTACAACGACATCTTGCGTACAGAGTTGAAGTTACTGCAGACTTTATTATACCTTAATTATCGTATCATTGAGTATTATCAATAAAAAAAACCAAAAGTTACAAGTGTGTATTTGGAGTTCATCATTTATAATTTTGACATATGTATTCTAAGCCTAATAAATTTTCATGGGTAGTTTTTTGGAAATGTGCAGGGTAAAGATTCTTATATAAGCTATCTAATTTGTTTTCAATGTTTTTTCGGTTTCATATAGAAGTATAAGCAAGCATGATGTTTAGGTACTCGAATCAAGAAAAAAATATATAAAACTATTTTGAGTTGTTTGATAATATTGTAAAATAAAAATAATAATGTCCACTGTACTTAATGTATAATTATGTTACACCAAACCTAACTAAATTTTACACAGGAAATTCAAACAAAGAGTGATTTTTTTGTCTGAGCGAGTGAAATCTGTTTACACTTCCACATGTTTGTTTCGTGCTTAACGATCTCCTTTCAACAGAAGCAAACGTCATAAATTTATACGAATAGTCCTTTTTTTATGGATCGATTACCGATGCTGGTGATGATGGAGTCCCTTATCTGTTTCACACTTTAAAAGCGAAAACATTTAAAACGTCTATTTAATGTTTCCATGTCAGAGGAATATTACCTGGAGCCGAAAACCTATACTACAAAAAATAATAATATAGTCTAATTTTTAAAGTTTCTTTCTTAAGACTCTAATATTGAATAATCATTGATCCTCAGAGAAGTGACGTATTTGAAAATCATGCCTAAATCTGTGGCTCAGCCGAATCGAAGTTCTGTTGTGTATGGTTAAAAGACACTAGTCTAAGAAATCTATGAAGCTTTTCCAGCTAATTCTACCAGCAGAAAGCGTCCTTCGTATCTCTTTGTGTGGTAAGTTAAACATGTTACTCTCCGAAACTTCCCATTTCAGTTAATCCTCACTTTATTCCACGTGACTTGTCTTCGCTAGTAATCGATTTCTGCTGTAAACACAACCATTTCCACGAGCGGCCCTCTCTCACCAGATATCTGTAGCTTACTTACTTCCTTGCTTGAAAAAAACAACAAAAAACACAGCAGTCAATCCAATGACAGCCTAATGGAATATATTAAGCAAAATACTTAACAATGTTACTAAAGTTAATATTACTTTTTGGATCCAGTCTGTTGATTATGTGAAATAAATGACACATTTGGATCTTTTTTGTCTTATTAGTCCTAAACGGCTACTCTTCATTTCTAGATTGCCTTATCCTGTAATGCTTAATGCATATGATATTAATTTGTAACAGCTCTGAATAAAATTAATTATCCCTAATATAAATACTTACAGTAATTATTTAATAATAATAAGTAATAATTACTTACGATTGAGTATTGATCGTTATCATGGTTAGTGGTCTATGCGATCGCCTTCGTCTAACAATTAATTAGTTACATATTCTTCTTCACTAATTACTGAGTAGTTTTATCCTACGTTTTGGCCTTTAATCTGCTGCTGTCCTCAGAGAGATACAGAGAAGGGCTATTTCTGTGGTGTTGGTGGTCTGGATTCGATCCTAGGTCTTCTTGATTGAAATGCTAGCATGCTAGTCACTCGTATGGGGTCTCCTCCATTAATATTTTAAATGGATAACTTGTCTGAATGCTTTCAAAAGGGGGATCAAGATT